ATCAGAATATACAAGTAAAGAGCTAGATGACCTCGAAGATGAAATGCCTGGTGCAATATATTTACCAGTTGATAAATCGCATCGTGACGGACTTGTGAAATCTCAGCCAGCAAGGACAGTGTGTGCTCTACATACTAGGAATGAACATATGGTCTGACCTTTGAATAATTATTGTGTTTTAAATCTGTGATAAAATTAGTGCAAAATAGTCAATATGTATTTGTGTTACTTGCTTATTTACAATAAAGGTTAGAATTCAAGTTAGAAGATTAGGAATGACAAATTCTGTTATGCTTGGTTACAATTTTCGTGATCCTGCAGAAAACAATAAGTTGTATAAATCTGTTCTCGATTCAGGTGCACCAGAAATGATCCTTCCTTATCATGTCCGTAGGATATTTGGAAGAAGAGGATGGAAAACTGTCTTAGGTGTTACTATCGGATATGGAGCACCCGCTCGCCTGGTTCATGCATCAACAACATTTGAAGTTGCAATTGGGGATGATAATAGTTGGACTAAGTGAGTGAGTATAGACACACTCCGCGTCTGGGAAAATGATCCTGGCGACCAAGTAGACAGCGCTCTTGTTGGTAACAATGTCCTAGAGCAGCTTTCCTTCATGCATGAGGTAGCACAAGGATATAAATTTTTAAAAGTTTCAAATGAAGTTGCTTTAACCAATTTCATAGCCAATATTTCCTAAAATTCTTTGATTTAGTTAGAAGACAAAAAAAATGTTAATGATGTACTTCATAAGGCCAATTGCTTAAATTTCAATACCACAACTTGAAAATATATTAAAAGGAATGTAAAAAGAGCAGTAAATGATGCAAATCTTTTGATGCAAATGATGGAAAACGATAGTGCTAAGTATCCATAAAGTAGCACATCTCCAAAACGAATTATTTCTCATATTGTGAGATCAAAATTCCGCATCTCACACAAATCTCTTGATTTTTATTTATGACATGCTGATACAATTTTCCCATTTATTTATACTAAATCGTAATAACAATTTTCGCAAATGTATATATTTATGCTTTACTCTCAAAACTATCTTTTACTATAGTGCACAAACTATTTAATTATTTGCAGGGCAAGTTTTCTTACTTCCCTTCCAGTAACATTTTCTTGGCAGTTCTTTGTTATCTGCCTGAGCCGGCATGTCTCAATGATATTTATAATATCTCAAGTATCCGTCGTGATACTTTCTAAGCACTAAAATAAAAGAAAAGAAATAAA